ACCTGGGACATAAGAACCAGAGTGACCCAACAGAACCACCTGGAGACACAAGAACCAGAGTGACCCAACAGAACCACCTGGAACACAAGAACCAGGGTGACCCAACAGAACCAGGGTGAAACTGTCTCAAAGTAAAAACAGGTAAACATTTGGAGTCAGCCCTGTTAAAGATGGCTGCCTCTAACNAACAGGTACAAACACTGAAAACATGGTTTTATTTCAAAAAGGGGATATTTACAGATCAAACGGCGTCCTGTAAGCTGATCATTTTTACTTCCTGTTGTCACAGATTAGACAGGACAGGCAGGGCTTAGTCTAGTGTTATCATATAAACTCTGTCAGGTTTACAGCAAGAGAGACCCTGGAGCAGCACCTGGGGGTCTCAGCACCTGGAGGAACAGGTGGTCTGATCTGTGGACCTCAGAGCTCATGTTGGTCTGTGGAGCTAAGTTTGGACCATAAAATTTGTTTAAAAATATATAACTTTAAAACTGAAAGAAAAAATATTTGAAACTGATAGAAAAACTTTAAAAACAGCCTGTATCATATAACYAGTTGTATGGCATGTTGTTGAATCATAAAATAAATAAAGTTTGGCAGATCGTTGTATCAGGAAAGTTGTTGTACCATATAATTAACGGAGTATGTCAGACTCTTGTGTCATATATTTACCAACATGACAAATCCTTGTAACAWAATTAACGGTGTATGGCATGCCGTTATATGAAATATTTAATTATGTACCGCTGGTCATTGTATCACATAATTATTGATGTGTGGCAAGTCATTGTATCATATAGTTATTGTAATATGGCATGCTGTTGTATCATATAATTAACATATAYGACAGGTCTTGTATTATATAATTAATGCTAAATGGCTGGTTGTTGTATCATATACTTATTGAAATATGGCTGGTTGTATCATATAATTATAGAAATATGGCTGGTCATTGTATCATTTAATTAAAAACATGTGGCTTTCTGTCGTATCATATAATTAACATTGTATAGCAGATCATTGTATTATATAAATAATGATATATGGCATGACCTATATGATCAATGTGATATGGTAGATTCTTGTATCATATAATTAGTGCCACATGGAATTCCACTGTGTCATATAATTAACGTTGTATGGCAGGTTGTTGTGTCATATAATTAATGCCATATGGCTGGTCTGCAGACATTTTCTGTTTCATCTCCACGTCCAGTCAGGAAAACTAACCCTAAACCTTCTTTTTATTTTATTTTTAGACTCTGTGTTCCCAGCAGTTTGTCACAGAGACACACTTTGTTCCCATTTATCATCTGGATAAAAACAAAGTATGGAAATTCAAGTTTGACTGGATTTTCTGTCAAGTCAGGTAACAGTTCTGACACACTTTGGTTTAATGAAATGTTTTTCCAGAAAGGTTTAATCTACAGGCCTTCATAGATTTTCATAGTCAGACATTTAAAACAAGGAAGAAAAACAACGAAAGGAAAACGTGTAAAATCATAGACACTTTATTGAACATGAGTGTTTCTAAAACTCACAAAATAAATGTAATCACACAAAGAGAACCTGACACAACCCTGCATGGATTATTTACACCAGGTGAAAATCTGAAGACTTTTCACAAACATCACAATATTTTACCTCCTGCTGCTTTTATTTACAAACTGTTAGAAATATCAATATATGAAGAACACAAGCCTTCTACCACCAGGGGGCGCCACTTCGGTTTTAGTTTGACATGAAGAAGGCTTAAAGTGTATATTATCCCCCGTGAAAAGATAACTCCGCCCCAAGGCAAATTTTGAAAAATGCATCAAAGTGGGTAGGGG